CTCGGTCTCTGCCCCCGCGCAGGGGGTCCGCGGCGCCTGCCCGAACCCCCGCCGGGAGGAGGGACGGGGACTGGAGCCCGGAGGTGGCCCAGGGCGAGGATTCTGGTATGCCCGACGTGGTCCGTCCTCCTTGGTGGCCCGGCGCCGCCAGAGAGTCAATCACCCCCCCTAAGCCGCGACCACCGCTGACGGGGGGCACGGCTGCGCTGGATAGACCCAAGAGCCATTCGAGTCCAGAGTCCAGGAGGAGGGAGGAGGAGGAGGCGGAGGAGGAGGAGGAGGAGGCGGAGGAGGAGGAGAACGAGTGCATACCCAAGTCTCATCAACGATGTTGGAATAAACCCTCCTTCCAGGCTCTCTCTTCACAGGCCCCTACAAAGTTCATTTCCACTACGGGAACTGCACCGTTGGGAGACACCCGATTGAAGGCCCTCAAGCGTGCCAGAAAACCAATATCGGGACTCCTACGCCACGAATCAACCTGGCTGTTGCGATTTGACGATCCAGAATCGTTCCAGAACGCCGTTCCTGGATATCCACCACACCGAACCAACGCAACTGTTGCGTCGAAACAATCCTGATGATTTCCAAAACGCCATTTCTGGTACGCAACTCATGGGAGCCCGTAGAACTCTTACATTTGTTTGAAATATGTGCGCGGCGATATTGCGAAAACCACATGTTGACAGCCATGCGCCCTCAACAGGTGTAACTTTTACAAATGTTCAAAAAGAATGTGCGCGCCGCTGAGGCGAGAACCACATTTTGAAAACCATCCGCCCTCCATCCGTGAAACCCTTGGACATGTGTGAAACGAGCATGCGCGGCGTTATGGCGAAAACCACATTTTGAAAACCACCCGCCCTCAATCCGTGAAGCTCTTGCATCAGAAAACGAATGTGCGCGGCGCTGAGGCGAGAACCACATGTTGTTAAAAACCACCCGCACTCCATCTGACAATATGTTGCCCGCTTGTACGCTTTAAGATCACAGATGGAAATGACATCCCAGACAAAACGCCCGGCCCGCCCTTCCGACTGGCGTCGGGGTGCGCCAGGGAGGAGTTATTCATAAGGAAGGAAGAGGAATGAAGGAGGAGGAGAGGAGGAGAAGGATAATGAAAAGCGAGAACGAGGAGCAAAGGGACCAGTGAAAACCCATGGCCCATCAACGATGTATGAATGAATCCTTCCTCCTATCTCCTTTTCTACAGGCCCCCACAAAGGTTTATTCCCACTACGGGAACTGCACCGTTGGGCGACAACCGTCTGAAAACCCCATCATGCGTGCCAGAACACCATTCTCGGGAAACCAACGCAACGAATCAACATGACTGTTGCATCCTGACGATCGAGAATCGCACCAAAACGCGATTCTTGGGGCTTCAACACCGCGAAAACTGCTTCAAACACACACTTTCAGACACGTTGACCATGGGAATCCGTGATACTGTCGCCAATGCTTGAAACGAATGCGCGCGGCGCTGGGGCGAGAACCACGTCTTGAAATAGAACCTCCCTCAATCCGTGAAACTCTTGCAATTCTTTGAAACGAATGCGCGCAACGATAAAAAGATAACCACATTTTGAAAACCAACCGCCATCTATCTGTGAAACCCTCCTACATTTCAGAACGAATGTGCGTGGCGCTAAGGCGAGAACCACATGTTGAAATAGAACCGCCCTCAATCCGTGAAGTTCTTGCAATGTTGAGAAGGAATGTGCGCGGCGCTAAGGCGAGCACAATACTTTGAAACCAACCGCCCTCAATCCGAGAGGTCCCTTGGAAATGCTTGAAACATGCGAGCGGCGGTAAAAGAATAACCAAAGGTTGAACACCACACGCCCCAAATCCGTGAACCCCTTCCAAATGTTGACAACGAATGCGCGCGGCACTGAAACGAGAATTACATGTTGCAAACCTCTGCTTCAATCCGTGAACCCCTGGCAATTACCGCGCGGTGCTAAGGCGAGAACCACGCTTTGAACACGAGCCGCCCTCAAGCCGATAGACCCTTGGAACTGTTTCAATCGAATGTGCGCGGCGATAGGGCGAGAACCAAATCAAAACACCACCCGCCCTCAATGCGTGACAATATTGAATCTGTTGTTTAAGTAGGAATGTGCGCTGCGCTAAGACGAGCACCACATTTGAAAGCCACCCGCAACCACACGCCCTCAAGATGTGAAACTGTTCCCACTTGTTTATGCGCCGAGGTCATACATGGGTAGGAAATCTCGGGCGAAACGCCCATCCCGCCCGCTCGACCGCCTTCGGGGCACGACAGGGAGGAGATAATTATAAGGAAACGAAATTGAAATCGAGAACAAATTTGGGGTCCAGCAACCGTTCGGTGACTGACCGCCGCTTGGTGAGCTCGAGATCCCCAACGACCTCACCGCGCGGTCCGTCACCGCACGGCTCTGAAGCCAGAACCAGGACAACATCGGACTGAGACAGATCGGGAATCTCTGGGATCCGGCGATTCTGGAAGACGTACCGGGCCTCGCGGCCGTTCGAGCGCGCTTCGGAAGGCTCTGGGAGCGATCAGGAACGCTCTGGACTAATGCATCTCGGTCCAAAAATGCCGCCCGAATAACTGGTCCTGGAGAATGCCCCAGCTGGGTTCCAGGACCCGCTTCCCTCCGGAACTCTTTCCCAGGGAAGGCCACCCACCTCCTCTCGTCGTGAAAGTTAATCGCGACCGACGGCTTAGCAATTTGTCGGCAGGTGGTCACCACTGGGATGGGCGCGGGGGTCGCTAAGATGATAAATGGGTTTCAAGACGGGTCCAGGACGAGGATCCATTCGGGTGACGATAAATCGAGAACCTCGAAATCTGGATGTGGGCAATCTTCACATCGATTCTCAGTGTGCGGGTTAGGTAGGGATGTACATTAGGATTCCTTGTGGGCATTGTACAGATGGAGTCTTGTCATGCGGAGTACAATGTTACCAAATCTGTTCATCGGGCTGTGCACAAGGATTCTTGGTGTGGGGGATTTACGAACTGTTTCCTATCGCGCGCGTGAGAAATCCAATCCTTGTGCGGTATTTTGCAATATTCGTCACCGTGCCTTCAGCACGCAGTAGAGTGTCCCAAAGCTCATGATGCAACCCTGAGAAGTTCAGAACTGTAGGCCCTGGAAACCGGTTTCGAAAAGATTCCTGGGGAATCCTGGAGATTCCCAGAGATTTGCAGATTCCCAGGGATTTCAAGGAATTCCAATGGATTCCCGGGTATTCCCAGGGCGCGTTGCGAGCGTCCTCCAGTGGCGCAGCCGGCCAAACGTGGGCCCAAGAAGAGCCTAAAAGCACCGAAGATGCCTCCGATACGGCACAACAGCGCCCGAATTCGTCCCAAGAGTGTCACAAGAGGTGTCCAAAGAGGGCCGCAAGAGGCAAACATCATGGAGTTTCCGTAGGCCATTGATTTTCCACTTCTCGCCTTTTCGGATTTCCGACGCACAGATATTTCGAGCCCTAGTCCCCGAGGGGCCCTCAGGAGGCCACAAGAGGACCCAAGAGGACCCCCAAGAGGCAAGAGGCCCTCAAGGGGCCCCCAAGGCGCCAAAAAACTGCTCCCAAGAGGCCCCCGAGAGCGCACCGAAGAGACTCGAAGAAACATCCCTGAGAACCCTGACCACAGACCAGGCACAGTGGCGGCATGGGCCGAAGGCCATTTGATAATTTCTTGTCTGGTGGACTTACATGTCAGGTTGTGCGGATTAATTACTATTGAAATCCATTGGTGTGGATTTGCAATGCAACTCCTTTGTGAGGGCAATTCACATATTGATTCCCGTTGTGGATTACAAGTGGGATCCTCTAACGGGGATTTACAACAGAGCCCTGTTTTTTAGGCGATGTACATGTGGATTCCACTTGTGCGTATTACCTCTCGGGTCCCCTGAGCTCTCTGGGCGCGTACTGGGCAATTGTTTCTGTCGTCCGGAGCGCCCCCAAAAGAGCGTCCGAAAGCGTCTCCAGCAGCTGAAAACTGTCGCGATGCTGTTTTATTCCTCTTGGGCCGCCTTCGCCTGTGTTACTCAGTGCTGCTCAGGTGGTCCACTTCTTGCCTCGCCAAGTCGGGTCGCGGGAGTCACGACTTCCCACATCTGCGTTGAAGCGACCGCGCTCCACAAACAGTAGGGCGGCGGCGTCGTCGGCGAAGCGGGACTGGTTGCAGAGAACACCCGACAGGACACCAGATTCTGCCGAGGGCAGCGCTATATCCGCCTCGTCCCTCCTCCCCATTCTCCTCTCCCTCCTCCTCCTCCTCCTCCTCCTCATCCTCCTCCTCCTCCTCCCCCTGCTACTAACATATGCAGGACACGAGGCGCAACTGACAGGACACAGAGGTATCCTTGGCGTTGTAGGGTCGACCTACGAATCCGAACAGACCGTGCGTGGTGGCACAAATCTGCTGGACGACGCGGCCGACGGCGTGGAAGAAAGAGCACTCCCACGCGACCCCGGTTCTGAAGTCGCCCACGACTGGCCAAGGGAGATGTTTTGGATGGTTGGATGGGAAGCCCATTCCTACTCACCCGCATCATCCCCAAGGTGTTTGAAGTCGGTAACGTTGTTGAATGGATGGGGGAGCCCACTCCTTCTCACCCTCACCCACCCTTCCCGTCCTCATCACCATCATTGTGCTCTTCCTCCCCCTCCTCATCCTGCATATCCTCCTCATCCTCCTCCTCTTCCTCCTCCTGTCTCCCTCCTCCTGTCTTTCATCCCTCCCCCTCATCTGCAAATATTCCGCCCCCTCTCCCTACTCCCATCCCTCGCCCTCCCCCCCTGCATCTCTCCCTGCAGCTGAACCGAGGCGGATCTTGATGCGAGCGTGTGCGGAAAGAGATGGGGGAGCATCGCCATGCTACAACAATGAACGCTGAAGATGGAGCAAAGGGGCTCTCCTGGCCGCGCCTCGGCCACGAATAGGTTCGACGATCTAGATCTAGGGAACGGCCCGAAAAGCAGAGCTCCTCCAGAATACGACGTGGTCCTTATTTCAGCGTCTTGGCTGCATGCAGGAAAGCGGCGATGATGCCGACGATCAAACGAATGATGGCGCCGAATGCTCCCGCGGTCAGCGGCGGTGCAGCAGCGGCCACGATGCACCATGCGGGTGAACCGCCGCCCGCACCGCGCAAACGAGGCAGAGCAAATCAGCACTTGCGACTGGGCGAAGCTGCAACCATCGCCCTCGAAGGGATACAGTCATCGTGCGACCACAAGGAACGCTCAATCAGGAACGAAAGGGCTCTTCTGCCAACGGTGAGCTTCGGCCACGAAAAGCTTCCATCAGTTAAGCCTGAGGAAAGGCAAGAAAACCAAGAGCCTCTCCTGAGCCCGAATTAGTCCTGAGTTCAACGTCTTGACTAGAGGCCTCCTAGATGGGGTCCGAGTCAGTGGGGTGGGAGGATCGCGCCGTATCGGCGATATCTCGGCGATGCATCGGCGATGCACCTGCAACGTCGGTAGTGCACCGGCGGCGTCGGCGTGGAGAACCTGGGGCCCCACGTCGAGGCGCATCGCCGGCGCATCGGCAACGCGGAGCGATCCTCCGCCCCCGCCTGCTCGGCTTCCGTCTGGGAGGCCAAGCTCGGCTGCGGCTGGGGGTTCTGACGATCCGTGGGCGCACGCGACTCTCTGCGAGGGCGGCGGGGACTCAGCGGGCGAGGCGAGGCGAGGCTCAGCGGCTCAGAGTGCCGCGGAAGTCGAACAGGGGCTTCTTGTCCTGGTTGAACCGGTTGGCCTTGCCGCGTCGCACTCAGATCTATCTGAGCAGGGAGCGACCGTCCCGGCATTCCAGCAGGCCTACCGCAATGTGCCGTTAGAGCCCAGATCTGTTATAGGAGGAAAGACATTGCTCGTGGAACAGAAACCCGATCTGTAAAAACATACAGTCCCAGTCATACACGTTCTGAGAGCATTCCGTGCTAGCCCCAAATAAGGTGACTTGAAGAGTAGTTGGTGGGCTAATAAGCGAGCCAGGACGCTTCGCCACTGCTCGACTTAATACCAAGCAGATCACTCGAAATCAAGCGCCAAGTCTCGCTTCATGAGGGACGCTGTTCATGGGTCAAGTGGTGCCGTATGGGACAGACCTTCTCCCACGCTTTGTGTGAGGGAGACATCACATCATGCACCCTCCTCCTCCTCTCCTCCTCCTCCTCCGTCTCGTCCTCCTCCTCCTCCTCCTCCTCCTCCTCCTCCTCCTCCTATAGCGATCCATCCATCGCGCCGCAAAGCCCCTCCTCCTCCTCCTCCCTCTTCCCCCCTCCCCCGTTCCAACTTACCTCTTTCTTCCTCCTCCTATTCCTCCTCCCTCCATCTCCTACTCTTTTGGCGGAACCTCATCATTCTGTCTGCCTCCTCCACACACGCCTCTGGAAAAAAGAGCCGAGACATCAACTTCCCTCGCCTGCAGCCAGGATCCCCACAGAATCCACACTTGGAGCCCTGCCAGACCACAAGGGACGACTATTCGAGCGGAGTGCTTCTCGTGAAAACATGAAAAAAGACGGGTCCTGAAGAAACGGATCCCGGATCGCGGGCTTGTGCCCGAGACCAACCCGTTATCTTGAGTAACTCCCTACGGGCGTTTCGCTAGAGGGTTCGTATGGATGTAGAAGAGGACTACAGGAGAGTCTCAAGGACATTAGAACCCGAACACGCATAGCGCCTGCAGCCGTTTCGCCTGAGACTCCCCCCCTACGTATTCAAGAATCGTGCTCTCGCTACAATGCCGGCTACAATTTACTTGTAATCATTTACTTTGCGAAGGACCCAAGCAGATGCAGCTGTGAGAACCGCAGTCGTGAGTATCGTCTTCGGTGGAGCTCCTTGTGGGGGCACGATACGTGTGAGAGGAAGTGCCAAAGTGGGATAGCGGCAGCACGCGAGCGCTGCCACTGGTGCCTTCGGTGGCGCTCCCTCTAGGGCAGCCAGTGGAGCTCCGTATGGGAGCCAGGAAACTTGAAAGGTGTGCCGAAATTGGTGCGGCGGGCGCATGCGAGTGTAGCCACTCGGGCCTTCGGTGGAGCTTCCTGTGGGCCACGGAACGTTTGAGGGGTGTGCCGAAATGCGCGCGGCGGGCGCATGCGGGCGCTGCCTTTTGGGCCTTCGGTGGGGTTCCCTCTGGGGCCACGAAACGTGTGAGGGGATGTCACAATTCTTGACTGGTATCATGCAAACGGAGCTACATGTGGACGTCTGAAGATCAAGACCACGATGTAAATGATGATAATTATGATTCATCATCATCATCATCATCATCATCATCATCATCATCATCATCATCATCGTCATCATCATCATCATCACCACCACCACCACCACCACCACCACCTTCCACCACCATCATCATCATCATCATCAGCATCATCATCATCGTCATCAGCATCATCATCAGCATCATCATCAACCTCAGCATCAGCATCATCATCATCATCAGCATCATCATCATGACGACGATGCGAGTGTAGCCAATCGGGCCTTCGGTGGAGCTCCCTCTGGGGCCACGAAACGTGTGAGGGTATGTCACAATTCTTGACTGGTATCATGCAAACGGAGCTACATGTGGACGTCTGAAGATCAAGACCACGATGTAAATGATGATAATTATGATTCATCATCATCATCATCATCATCATCAGCATCATCATCATCATCATCATCGTCATCATCATCATCATCACCACCACCACCACCACCACCACCACCACCTTCCACCACCATCATCATCATCATCATCATCATCATCATCATCATCAGCATCATCATCATCGTCATCAGCATCATCATCAGTATCATCATCAACCTCAGCATCAGCATCATCATCATCATCATCATCAGCATCATCATCATGACGACGATGCGAGTGTAGCCAATCGGGCCTTCGGTGGAGCTCCCTATGAGGCCACGAAACGTGTGAGAGATGTTTCGAAACCGGTGCGACGGGCGCATGCGGGCGCTGCCTTGTGGGCCTTCGGAGGAGCCCCCTATGGTAGCCACAAAACGTGACAGGGGTGTACTCGACATGGGATCGGCGGGTGCATGCGGGCGCTGCCTTTTGGGGCCTTCGGTGGAGACCCCTGTGGGGCGACGAAGCGTGTGATGGGGGTGCTCCGAAGTGGGTACGCCGGCCATGTGGGAGGCGTGCCGAAATGGGTGCGGCGGGCGCATGCCGGCACTGCCTTCTTGGGACTTCGGTGGGACTCTCTCTGGGCCACGAGCCGTGCGAGGAGATGCCGAAATTGATGAGGAGGGCGCATGCGGGCGTTGCTTTTCGTTCGACTTCAGTGGCCCCCACTTGTCAGCCGAAGTGGGTGCGACTGGCGCAGGCAGGTGTTGCCATTGGGGCCGTCGGTGCATGTGTATATGTATATGTACATGTATATGTATCTGTATATATATAAATATATATCAAACAAATATATGTACCCATGCAATATATATACATATATACACATGTATATATATATATACAGTTGTGTACAAATATAAATATATCAAATGACGGGGGGGCGAACGGTCATTCAGTGTCCCTGGGTTCGTGGCTGAAGTGAGAAACCTTGGGGATACCTAGGAGTTCCCTGTTCACTGGCTGGCCGCCTACTCCTCGACCCGCATCTTCACCTCTGCTGCTACTGAATTGCCTTGCTGGGGTCATTGTTGGACCATCCCGAGGCCCGTGGAAGAGCCCAACGAGACGAAGCCGGCGCAACAACCCGGAGCCATTTCCGTCAGGACCCGCTCCCTCCTAGCGACATGCAAGCGCGGCGGGGAAGGCGGCGGGGGTGGCGGCCGGGACCAGCACGAGAGAAGCACGCGGGCAAAGACAGGACCGGCACGTCCAAACGAAATAACGACGCTATCCTCCCCGCGCGCTGTCCAGCCGTGCCGCTGGGCCTCTGGGGTATGAGCAAGCCCGAACTTCGAGCAGGGGATCGTCTACCGAATTGATGTGCCCCAACATTCATCTGTTCGCTGAGTCCGCGATGGATGCGTGGGATGCTCGTAAACCCACGAGCAAGATACATCTTTTTGCTACAATCGACGGGCAGCATCAATTTTGGGATAAATCAGCTTTGTGGCTGATCCCCTGCTCGAGCACTTCGCGCCTCGCGCTCCGCGATGCGCGGCCATCTTCGCGCCCGCACGCCGCCCCGTGCAGGAGGCCAGCTCGTTGGCCCCAGCCCCGACGCGCAGGGCGTGGTCACCTCCCCCTCCTGCCCCTGGTGGCTATGCCCAGAATTAGAAGGCAGAAGACCCACCCCAATACTAGTATCGTTCAACTGGTCCCCATCCCCAGCGGCGTGGCCTGGGCCCCACTGACCGATCTACCCCCCTAGATAAGGATATAGGTCGTTCCCTTCGGGTTTCGAGGGGTGTATCCCCGGGGGGGGCAATTTGGTGGGGCTCTCGAAAGGAATGGGGATGGAGATGGGGGTCGGATAAACGATGCTGACAATAATGATCACCCCGGAAAGCGAAGCCGTCTAGTACCCGCACCCAAAGATGGAATCGAACAGGGCAGGGCTGCCGGTAGACGCCGAGGGCCGTCTAGAAAACGCCAGGTATGGGGTTCGGGTGCCGCCCGAGCTGGGAGCAGGCAGGAGCCCAACGGATCCCCCCTATGATTAGCAACGAAAGGGCCCCTGACCCTTTGGGAGCGGACTCGGGTGAAGAGTTCCGAGGGGTCAAGCTTTAAAGGGCTCCGCCCACATTCACTGTCCCTGAAGCCAAGGCGGGGGGCCGAGTCGGGCTGTGCCTTCAGTGTGCTGTCAAGGTCCGGGGTTCTTTCGATGGCACCGGCGATGCGTCGGCGATGCGGCGCGATCCTCCGACCCCATCTATTCCGACCCCATCTGGGAGGCCTAGACTTGTCCTCCTCGTCCTCCTCGTCCTCCTCGTCGTCCTCCTCATCCTCCTCCTCCTCCTCCTCCTCCTGCTCGAGACTGCATTCTGTCTTGTTCCGGGCTTCGCCGGGAGGACGAAGGCTGGCTTGCTGCGCCTGGGGCGCGTCGGCGCGAGGAAGGGATCTCTCCACCGTCGGATGCAGAATCCGGGGGTTCAGGCTCTGAAGATGGATCGTTTTGCGGCATCAATTCTTTCCTGGCCGTGGACGGCCCCGCCGAGGCGCATTTGTAGTAGTAACAGTAGTAGTACAAGTAGTAGTAGTCGTAGTAGTAGTAGTAGTAATAGTAGTAGTCGTCGTCGTCGTCGTAATAGTAGTAGTAGTAGTAGTAGTAGTACTAGTAGTAGTAGTAGTAGTAGTAGTAGTAGTAGTAGTAGTTGTAGTAGTATTAGTAGTAGTAGTAGTAGTAGTAGTCGTAGTAGTAGTAGTAGTAGTAGTAGTAGTAGTGGAAGTAGTAGTAGTAAAAGTAAAAGTAGTAAAAGTACTAATAGTAGTAGTAGAAGTAGTCGTGATATTCTTAGTAGTAGTAGTAGTAGTAGTAGCAGTAGTAGTAGTAGTAGTTGTAGTAGTAGTAGTATGAGTAGTAGTAGTAGTAGTAGTAGTAATAGTAGTAGTAGTAGCCGTAATAGTAGTAGTAGTAGCAGTGGTAGTAGTAGGAGTGGTGCTAATAGTAATACTAGTAGTAGTAGTAGTAGTAGTAGTAGTAGTAGTAGTAGTAGTAGTAAAGGTAGTAGTAGTCGTAGTAGTAGTAGATGTAGTAGTCATAGTCAGTGGTAACGCTCGTATTAGTAGTAGAAGTAATAGAAGCAGTCGTCGTAGTAGATGTAGTCGTA